CCCTGAATTTCTGTTTCTAATTTGTGCATCGGTGGATGGTACCTCCACATCACAGAGTTGAGAAGTTATGAACAGGTGCGCAGTGAGAAGCACACCTCTACCTGCCCTGTCCTGCTCACCCCCTGGAGGCAGCGGGGGTCTGGCTGAGCTTCCGGAGAGAGTATGCGCACAGGTGTGCGTGGGTGCGTGCATCTCCTTCCCACCTGCTCCGTCGCGTCTCGTAGCTGTTCAGGTGTCTAGTACCTGTCGCCGCGCATTCCTGTCGGTGGGCCAGGAGCTGCGTTCGTCCCCCGTGTCCCGCCCCGTGAGTCAGGCACCTTGTGATCTCACACAGTCACGGTTGCCTGCGTTGGGACGTGGTCGAGTCCGTCGCTCGTTTTCCTTTCCTGTTTCTCAGTTTTGCTTCTGTGATCCCTTGCCTTAGTCCTGGAATACGTCCTGTGTGCCCTCCTCTGGGGAAGTTGTTGCTGGGAACGGCCCTCCCCCCTCCCCTGCCTCACTGTTGCCCCAGATGCACGCGTCTTACCGCCCTTCCTGTGGCCAGCCTGCTGGGGCCGCGACCGTGTGTGTGCACTCTGGAAGGTCTGTGGGCTCCTGCATCTGAGGGTGGGTGCTTTTAATCACTTTTGGAAGTTTCTCAACCATTGTGTCTGTCCTTGATTGTTGCCTTCCTGTCCTTTCTGTCCTTTCTCCCTAATTTTGATGGAAACCCTTCCCTCCCGTGTTCTGCCTTGGCCATCAGCTGCTGGCTCCCATTTTCTCTCTGTCCTTTGCTGTTTTTTCTGGCTTGTTCCTTCGATTTCTCTTCCAGAGCACCAAGTCTCTCTTCAGCCATAGCTGAATTGCTGTTTTACTTCTTTAAGCTTTTAAATTGTTCTTTTACCTTGTTGGACTTCATTTAGTCTGCTTTTTTGTTGTTGTTTTGTTTTAAATTTGCTTGTTTCTTTGATATATTGATTCTCGCTGATAATTTAAATCCCTTTCTTTACTGTTTTGTTTTTTTTTTTTAAGATTTTATTTATTCATTTGACAGAGAGAGACACACAGCGAGAGAGGGAACACAAGCAGGGGGAGTGGGAGAGGGAGAAGCAGGCTTCCCGCGGAGCAGGGAGCCCGATGTGGGGCTCGATCCCAGGACCCTGGGACCATGACCTGAGCCGAAGGCAGATGCTTAACGACTGAGCCACCCAGGCGCCCACGTTTCTTCACTGTTTTAAACACAGCATGCGTACTTTCTATTCTGCTTCTGATTATTCTATTACCTGATACCGTGGGTTTCATTCTCCTAATTCTTGTGTTTGCAGGTCTGTTTTCATTCATTCATTCATTTATTTATTTATTTTTTACTATGACCTTAGATCTTTGGTCCTTAGAAGTTTCTCTCTGGAACGTGTTTGGCTCCTTGAGCGAGGTTCTGCTCTTCTCGCCGGGATCTCTGCTTGTCCCTCACGGTGCCTGTCACACCTGCGGTCTTGGGCTGCTGTGTAGTCAGTCAGTCTGCCCAAAGTCAGGGCTGGTGTGTCTGTGAGTGCGCACCACTGTCTGTTTTGCTCTAAAGATTGCCCGCTGCGCATCCTGACTTTTTTGGTCCGGATTCTCTGCTCTGATCTTCCACCCTGTGCGGGCACTGCGTTTTTTGCTTCTCCCCTGCATGAGGGGCTGACTCCATTCCACCCCAGGGAGGGTCCTGCTCCGGGCTCCAGGGCTGGCCGCCCCCTCTGGACTCAGGAGGAGCCCAGGGGGTTTGTTTGGGGTCTGTTTATGTGAGGGTTAGGACCACGTGCCGGGGTACTTTTTGTGTGGGGGCCTGTGGAGTAGGGCAGCCCTGTTCTTTGGGAACTCGGGGGTGTGCAGCTCATCTGGGCACCGGTCAGGGTGATCTTTCCGGGTGTGAGAGTGGGACGTCACCTTTGGCCTCTGTCCCTGCCGTGGCTCGGCCGCACCTGAGGAGACAGAGTCTCTGACCCTGCGAGCCAGACTTTGTTGTGTCTGCAGCTGCTGGCTGGTTCGCTTACACCCCCCATCACAGCCTTTGCAGGGCTGTTGCACGAGCCCACCCGTGCCCTGAGTCCAGCCATGTCCCTGCCGGGGCTCCCAGCACCTGCCGGCCCCCCGAACCGGGCCAGTGCCCATCATCCTCCCTGTGGGGCTTTGGACGAACAATGTGGCACCTCCGTGCCTCAGCTTCCTTCCTGGGAGAGCACGGCCTGGACTGGATGGTCATTCCTTCCCAGCTTCAGAAGGAAGCACTGGTTTGTCCAGAACCCCTCATCTCTGCCCTCCCCGGGCTCTGGGCCGTTATGGGGCATATTTCAGAGCTTCCAGAAGACCCGTCCTGTCCCTGGTACTGACCTGCCTGCAGAGCTCAGCGCCGGTCAGGGAGGTGGGCAGGGTCATGAGCTGTCTGTCCTGCGTCTGTCCGCCCTTGGCTGGGGGGCTCCGTCTACAGGGCGGAGGGGTACTCCCAGTAGTCGGGCTCCTCGAGGCCCAGAGGCAGGAGGGCCGGTGAAGGTCATCCCAGACGTGAGGTTATTGGGGCCCACGCTGGTTCACAGACAGCTGGGGCTGGCACTGGTGGAGCGGGCCTCGGGCACCGCTGTGGCTCTGTGGCTCCCTGGGTGGCGGCCCGCAGCCCCCGCTTCACGTCTGTGTGGATGAACCTGCCTGTACCACTCCGTGCCGAGGAGAGGGGCTCGGTGGGAAGCAGCCTCCTGCTTTGTACTCGGGGCACATCTCTGAGGCTTCTGCGGCCTGCACCGGATGCCTGTTTGCTCAGGGATTAATCGCCGGCATTTGTTCAAGTGGAAATGAAGCAAACTTCACCACAAGTGGAATCACTCATTAAAAAGTCATCAAATCAAACCAGCACGTTTCTTGGACTTTTACTAGTAATGACAAAACAATTTCTTGAACAGGTCCAGACAGCAGAACTTGCTGGTTCATGTGCTCCTCCTCCTCATCAGCCTCGGCTCGCCTGGAGATGTGATGGAAGAGCCCTGTGTGGAAGGGCCACGCTGTGGGGACGGATGGGTCGGTGGAGGCGATGGTTGCAGCTTGTTCTGGAAGGGAAGCCCCCGACCCGCCCCCGGGGGCAGCGGCGCTCTGCAGAGTAGCTCCAGGTGTAGAAGTCAATACCAAGGTAGAGGATTCCAATAAAATGAGGACACTCGATAAACCTTCCTGTGGAAACAGATTTCCCACGGACGTGCAACCAGTTCAGGTGGATTTGTGACTTTAATTTCTCACTTATTGAATTTCTTGTCATCAGCTAATTGTGGAGTCCATGCCGAGTGATGACCGGGCTGTGAGCTCTGAGCTCTGCCTCCCCACCGGACAAGGAGGGCCTCTCCCACCAAGAGAACGTGACGTGGGGGGCTGTTTCGGGTCCGTGAATGTGCCTTTGGGCCCATGCTGGTACGGGCTGTCCCTGTCGCGTGTCTGGACGCCCTGCCCTGGAGGGTCGGGGACCGCGAGGCAGGGAAGGCAGTGCCAGGGCTGGTGCATGATGCGCCCGTGAACCCGTGGCGGTCTGTCTGCTGACATGGATGAGATCGCGGGGCCTCACTTACGGGGCAGGGTGCGGGCACAGCGTCTGTGACAGCATCGATCCTCACATCCGTCCTTTGGGACCAGCAGATTGCCCCACTGATCCAGGAGCTGAGGATGGGGGTGAGTGCTCTGGTCTCAGGTGCCCAGCTAGCCCGGGGTGGAGCTGGGACAAACCTGCCCCAGGCAGAGGCCGTGGAGCTCTGCGTCCCCCGCTCCAGCAGCGTCAACCCGTCTGGGCGCCTGCTTGTGAACTGGACCCTCGGGCCGCACCAGACCGGCTGAGACTAGCTGACATCGCACAAGCCCCCCCAGGATATTTGTGTGCATGCGGGTATGAGAAGCATGCTCAGAACGCCTGGGTTCCCTGCACAATGACTTGATTTTCTCCACGTGGCCTTCCCTGGTGACAGCACGTAGGCAAGATGTGGGGCAGGAGGGCAGGTGCCAGCCCCCAGCTCAGGCTGCGGGTCTGTTGAGGCTGAGGAAGAATCCAGGCCCACAGTTAGGGAGTGAGAAAGGGCGGTGGGCAGGCCCCCAGGGGTGACAGCAACTCCTTTCCTGGCACGGTGTCCTTTGTGCAGGCCGTCCAGAGCCGCTCGGTTGCTGGACCCAGGGACCTTGGGTCCCTGCAGCCTTTCCTGGTTGGCCTCCAGAAGGTTGTCTCCCTCCACGAACATCTGAAGAAGGGATCTTCCAGTCCTGGGCAGGAGAAGCCGTCCACCTCTCCCGGGGCCCCTGACTCTGGCTCACGCTCAGCCTTACTAGGTGTTCCTAGCAGGGCACCCCCGAGCAGTGACTTCTCTGCGGCTTAGTCCTGGCGCTGTATGATTGGTACATCCTCCCATGAGACCTGGGTGTGCCTTGGCATGGCTGGTGCACAGTGATGCATCTGCAGCCTGGGGTTGTGGCCCCAGGCATCCCATGAGCTCTACTGGGAGACGGAGCTCGCCGAGGCCAGAGCTGTTCAGCAGGGAGTCTGGGGCAGTTCAGAGTCTGGGCGGATAGAAGGCTCGCTTTGGTTCTTCCAGCCTGCGGCTTGGATGAATCTCTCCAGACTGCTGTGTGGCTTACAGGCCAGGTCAGAAGTCGCGGGAGGCAGGGTATTCAAACCTCCTTCCTGGCCTGGCCCTGTCGGTGTGTTCCTGGGACCATTCCTGGAGTTTGGTAGGGGCTGGGACTGGCTGGAATGGGGAAGTCAGCAGGCTCCAGGGAGGGGTCTCTGGCCACCGCAGGTCTCCACAGACCCTACAGCTCAAGGCCAGGCGGTTGTGGGGAGTGCCTGTATGAAGGCAAGATCCCGGTCATGCTCAGGCTGCTGGTTCAGAGCGCTTGGGGCCCTGCCGGGGCCTGGCTGGGCTCTGTCAGGCCATTGTGAATCCAAACGCTACTGAGCTCTTTGAGGAGCCCCGGGAGGCCACCCCAGCCTGACCACCTGCCCTCTGTGCCCACAGGAGCGGGACGGAATGCGTGCCATCCTGGGTTCCTACGACAGCGAGCTGACCGCGGCCGAGTACTCGCCCCAGCTGACGCGTCGCATGCGTGAGGCCGAGGACATGGTCCAGAAAGTGCACGCGCACAGCTCAGAGATGGAGGTGAGTGTGCAGGCGGGCGCAGGGCCAGCCATCCGCCTGTCTTCCGCGTGCTGGCTCCATGCTCTGACCTGGTGGCCCGGGAGAGGAGGACCCGCCAAGGGGCTGCTGCTGGTTCTGTCGTCCAAGGCAGACTTTCAGTCTGATTGGGAAGGTTAGCTCCGGCCGCACCGAGCGCGTCATCGTAAATATAAGTGCATTAATAGTCGTTTTATTATGACACATTTGGCTCCACATGAAACATCAATGAAGAGAGATTTGCAGGGAAGGTTCCCTGACACCTTCAGTCGTCCCTGGGATTTTTTACGTTGAGCGATTCCTCCTGTGTGTGCACCCTCTGTGCCCTAATCAGTTAATGACGAGGCTGACAGATCTGGCACCCCCAGTGCCATCTGTTTGGGTTTTGTGTGTCGGGGTGATGAGGGGCTGTCATTGACCGGCGGGGTCACCGCATCTGACCTCGCTGGGCCTGCACATCTGGCCCCCAGCACGGGCTCACCCCTCCCCCGATGGCTTTTAGGCAACACGGCCTGCTTTGGGCGGACACACGGGCACCAGCTTTGTCTCACTCCCTGCCATGGGCTCCCAGTCGCCTCCTGTCTTCCTCTCCTGGAGTCCTGCCTGCTTGCTCAGGACCGGCCCAGTTCCAGCAGAGAAAGTCCCTAGCCCCCTGCACCCCCTTTCTGTGCTCAGCAGTGTAGTAGGGCATCAGCCCGCCTTCCCGTCCACCCCCCTGGAGTCCTGGGCGAGTCCAAACGGTGGAGGATGCCCAGGCTCAGCCAGCGTCACCAACACGACCATCTGTTCCTCTCTGTCCTGGTCACTGTCCTTTTCCTCCTGGATGTGGGCACGGATGGGCCCCTCCAGAAGCAAGCCAGCCCCTGGCTGGTCTCCTGCCCTCCTCCCAGGCCAGACTGACCCAGATCTGTACTGGGAGAGAGACTCCCCATTGCATAGCCCCTGCTTCCTGGGACCCTGTCTTTGAGGCTGAGCGCTAACCTTGAGACACAGCCTTAGAGCCCTGGACCCTGGCTCTGCTCGCCATCCGGATTGCTGCAGGCAGAGGTCCTGGTCCTCCCCGCAAAGCCTCCTGGCTGTCTGGTCCTTCCGCACATGCCCTCCACACCTTGTCGCACACAGTGGCTCTGTCAGCCTCCACACGAGCCCACCTGGGCCCAAGCTGCTGCCTGCAAGGGAGGAGCAAGCATGGGGAGACTGGCAGCCAGGCGATCCTGGCTCAGGCCCACCGGTCGCTGTCCCCTGGCCTTTCTGGAACATCAGCAGTCCAGTGAAGTGAAGCTTACTGAAGCAGGTGTTTGCGATCAGCAGCCTTTGGTGGGTAGAGGCAGTGGTTGGGTCAGTGCACCCTGGGGGTGGTCGGACCTGGACCCCATCCAGTCCTGCTCAGAGGCCTGCGTCCACCCCTGTCAAGAGCTGTGCGCTTCCCGGCCCCCACCAGGTGGCAGCAGACGAAGCCACGGGTCCTGCTCCTGGGTCCAGGCCCTGGGTGGGGACTGGAGGGGTCTCCTCAGCCTCTGTTCTTTCTCTCATTGCTGAGACCCCCTCTGGCCTCCCTGCAGCCCTCTCTTGGAATCTGTGCGGGAGGAGGGCGTCCTCCCCGGGAGGCAGAGAGGGGGCCGTCTGGCACACGGCATGGGGGCGGTGCAGGGTGCGGTGAGGACGAGGGGTCCCGGGTGGGGCAGCGAGGCGGGGCCTGCCACGTGCGAGGTCCACAGAGCTCCTTCTCCGGGGGCCGCGTGCCTGCCGCGCTCAGTTCCGTGCTAGCTGCTGCTAGAACCGAGGCACCTCCACTCTCAGGGTCGTCCGTGGGATCAGGACGCGGCGTGCGGGGTAGGGGGACCTGTGGGGAGCCCTGCCTCATCCGCTTCCAGGGACATCCATCCTCGCAGAGAGGCCGCATCGCTCCCGCTGTCCCGTGCCGTCTGGCCTAGTCTGGCTGGGTCTCTGGCAGCCCGAGCAGGGGCAGCCCTAACTCGGTGAGGCCACAGAAGTGCTCCGGAAGCACGCACACAGCAAATGGCCTCCTTCTGCGCTGTGTGGAGGGTGAGAGCGTTTTAGACGGACGGATGGTGTAGAAGGGTAGAAAAGGTGGGCGTGCACGAAGCGCCCCCCCTTGCTCCCCTGCGTTACAGCCGCAGTCCCGGCAGTGGTGCAGAGGGGCTCCCTACGTGTGCCCCGCGAGGGGTGGCCATTCTCACGTGGGCCCTGGGGTGGCTCCCTCAGCATCGTGGGGAGCGTGCAGCCCTTAAAGGGAAGGGCCCACTTTCTGTCAAGACCTTGTCTTGCCCGCACCACGTAGGCCCTCCTGCGGCACCGGGACCACCCGCTTCCCGTGTGGGAGGCCGCTGCCTGCGGGCACCCCGGGAGCCGCTTGCCATCCAGGAGCAGGTCCGAGTCAGGGAGAAGGGGGCCCCGGCTTTAGGAAGTAAGCCTGTCGCAGTGAGAAGGAAGGGATTCAGAGGGGTCAGGAAAGAGTCGGGGCGAGCTCGCAGATGAGGTGGACATGAAGGTGGCCATGTCCGCTGTGCCCAGAGCGGCAACACCAAGATCAGCGCCCCCAGTGACGCCAGCGATGAGAGGTGTGGGGCGCCGTGTGGCAGGAGGGGCCGGACAGCTCTGCCTTCCCGCGGTCACCTTCTGTGATGGGCCTCAGTGTCCTGACGGTGGGTGTCCTGTCCCCCCCGCCCCGGCCACTGTGCTGACACTCTGCAGAGCAGGGGCAGGAGAGCACCCGGAGGCACTGCGGCGTGCTTGGTTCAGGTGAGGGGCGTCAGGGGGCGGACACGGGCTCAGGCTGGAGACACAGTCCTCCCCCAACCCCCCCCTCCCCCGCCATGAGTCAGCAAACGGGGCTTTTGATGCACAGGGTCCTCGGCTGCTGGTGGGGCCAGGAGAGAAGGCATGCGGTGCCGTCCTGCTGGGCCCAAGTGGTGGCCGCGGGCTGTGAGTTGGGGTCTCTCAGGTCCGGGAGCCTCATGGACACCAAAACCCAGATGTGGGCCTGGCAGAGCGGAGAGTCCTGCAGACGCAGGTGTCCCTGTTGGTGGACAGAGGGTGGGCAGGCATGTGAGGGTGCGGGTGGTTTCACTCTGCTCACACAGGCTCACGGAGTCCCTGGTTTTGTGGCAGCCTGGGGGACCCAGCCCTACTTTCCGTCCTCCCATCTCCAGCCTGCCCTTTCTGGGGGACGGGCCTCTAGGGGTCCAGACCATCTACTGCGGGGCAGCTCTGAAGCCAGGGTCTCCGAAGCCCATTTTACTCCTTCTCTCAGCTGTGGGGCTGCACTCCAGACTGGAGCCCCGAGCCCCTCCGTGCTGAGGCCCTGGGTCCCCGGCAGCGCTGCTCAGGCCTGCGAGGCCAGGGGCTGCGGTCTCGGCTCTGCTGGCCTGCTTCCTGACCCGCGGTGGGCAGGCAGCCCTGGGAGAGACCTGTGGCCCAGTGAGCGGACCCGTTCGTCCAGCTTGGGCGGGAGCAGCTCACTGGTCCAGGCGCCCCAGCTTGGACCCTCCAGGTCGCAGCGGCCCCGTGCTGACCCCGGGCCCTGCAGGCCACAGGGTGCTGCTCTCCAGGGCTCGGGGCGGGTTTCCCTCTTCTTGCTTGTTAAATAGTAATGCTTTATGTATTAGGAACTCGGAGAGCTTTAAACACTGCTCCGAAGGGCCTGCCAGAAGTTTATTCGTTGAGCATCACATACTGACCCACGGTACAAAGTTACGTCAGTTTGTAGAACCTGGTTATTAAGGTTCCTTAGTGTCTCTCAGACAAGACCTCTGTCACCGCACGGATGCACCCACTGCTCGGGGGGCGCACGTGGGCCCTGGACGAGCAGCTGTGCCCCGCTCACTGGCGAGCCCCCAGAATCGCCTGTTTTGCTCAACTGCCTTTAAGGAGCCGTGGGGAGCCATGAAGTGCATGCAGGGAGAACTCCCCCACAGCCCTCAGGGTCTGATTACAGAGGCGGATTAACTCTCCGCAGCTCCCCCGGCTGCCTGATGGATTGCCTGTCTAGAAGGCAGGGTCCAAGGGGACAGAGGGAGAGAACATTACCGTGCTGGCACTCAGGATACGCCTAACGGGTGTGGTGTGTGCGCCTCTCTCTGCCTCCCTCCCCCCCCCCCCGCCCCCTGCAATCCGGTGCTCCTTCCTTTCGTTTCCTTCCTTGTTTTGTGTTCTGCCTTCATGTCTGCTCTGAATGTCCTCTCCCTCCCTCCTCCCCCTCTGCCGTGGCTTCCCTCCCCCCCACCCCATCCCTGTGTCTTCTCCCTTGGGTTGGCAGGTGGGCCTTGCCCACAAAGGGCCAGACAGTACATTCTGTGAGCTGTGCGGCCACATGCTCAGCTCTGTGCTTGTGGCCGCTGGAAAGCAGCTTTGGGCCATCTGTGAATGGTGGGCATTGCCGTGTGCCAATAAAACTTTATTGACAAAACAGGTGGGGGGCCTGGATTTGGGTGCCGGCTGTAGTTGCTGAACGCCTGTTCTAGCCCCACTCTTCCTGGGACCCCCAGCATGCTGCTGCTTGTGTGGAGGCACCACGACGGTGGGGGGCCCTGAGCCAGGTTGGCAGGGGCCCTCAGGCAGGTGCAGGGAGGGAGCTGCTCCAGGGGACCTGTCTGTTCACTAATGGGGAAGTCTGCGGTGGGGGGCGGCGGGAGGGAGCTCCTTCCGAGCTGCTGCGTTGCGCGTCTTCAGCTTAATCAGGTGGTTCTCATGTGGAGCACGTTTCGAGTCCGGCAGACACGTTTCAGTGAAACAAATTGGAAGTGTTGAGATGGAGAGAATCCCAGTAGCCTTTCTCTGGTGAAGTCTGTGCCGTTTTGCATGGGTTTTATTTATTCCACTTAATAAAGCGGCTGCAGAAGTTGGTAGCATATGTCATGAACCTTCCTCTGTCGACAGAGCTATAAATATGCAGCTCATACCACCTCGATTCCACCTGTCAGCCTGATTTGTTTTCCTAGTTTATTTAATTAAAACAGATTATG